ATGAGCTCCTCGATCTGCCTCTTTAGCTCCCGACACTGTTCAGTGTCATGCTCATGTTGCCAGTGGAAGCGGCAGTACTTCGATTGGTCCGCCAGCGCCCGCGGACTCCTCATCGGGTAAGGTTCTTTGAGCAGTCCCTTTTCCCTTATGTGGAGGAATATTTCCGTTCGGGACGAGTTCAAGGCTGGGAGAGGGGGCCTCGATGCCGGCGGGTCGGATTTGTCCAACCTACGCCGAGACGCAGCGGGTTGCTGCTGCCGAGGCGGCTCCGGCTTGATCCTCTTGTGTTACTCGCGTCTCCCGGCCATCCACGTCTCCGCGGCGATGAACTGGCTCGCCCGTTGGAGCATCTCGGGTACCGTCGTGGGAGGTCGCTCCACCAGAGACCAGAAGAACCTGGAGGGCCGCAGGCCTATCATGAATGCCTGCATCAATAGAGAAGGGTGAGCATCCGAGAGCCCTCGGATCTGCGTCGTAAAACGGTTCACGAAGTGGGAGAGGGGCTCGTGCTCCCTTTGGTTGAGTCCGAGGAGCAACGCCACGGACGGCTTCGGACGGGCGTAGGCGAGGAAGTTGAGCTCGAAGTCTCGGGCGAGTTGATCGAAGGAAGAGATGGTCCCGGTCTTCAGGTCGTTGTACCATGCGCGGGCCGGTCCCCTCAAGGTCGCTGGGAACGCCTTGCACATCAAGGCGTCAGAAGTCTCATATAGCGCCATTTGGGCGCGAAACGCGGCTACGTGATCCGCGGGGTCAGTGGCGCCATCATAGGCGTCCAGGGATGGGAGCCGGAAATGTGGTGGAATCACTTGATCTTGTATTTCGGGTGCGAACAGGGACCCTTGGTATCCGTCCGCTCCGAGCTCCCCCTTTGACCTGCGAACCTCCTGCTGCACTTCGTTGAGGCATTGATTGAAGAGGCGCTACTGGGCTCGCAGGGCGTTCGTCGAGTCCGCGGATGGCACCTCAGGCTCCGGGCGATCGTCGTGCCTTCCGCCTCTCGGTCCCCGAGCTGGGCTGTTTGGTTTCGAGGCGAAATAGGGCGCTCGGGGAGTGGCACGTGCATCCAGGCGGGGGGCTCACGCTGTTGCAAAGGCCGGGTTGCATGTGGGGGCGTCGGCTGGGAGATGAGCGGGATGATAGTCTGCACCACGCCCGCCAATGCTCGGACTTGGTGAGCGAGATCGTGGAAGGCTTCGGGCGAAACAGGCAGGGGGCCGACGGGGGCTTCGGGTGGCGACAAACCCGGGTCGTTGAACAGCCGCCAGTAGCGCTCCGACGTTGTGGCGGGGCGTTCATCTCGGAGTTCATCACGCAGGGGATGATCTTCTGGGGTGCTGACCGGACGCGACCCCATGGCTGCGGGTTCGCCAGAGTGGATCTGCTGGTCGTTCGACATTCGGGCCCTTCCTCTAGCGTCAAAATGTTGCGGGAAACAATTGTATGCTGTGGCCTCGGGGCCGACGCGGCTTGGTTCGGGTCCGAATGCGCGAGGATCCGGCGCGACGCTCCTCGGGGCAGCTGGGATGGCCGGTCACGATGGTCCGGACGGGATGTAGCGTGGGAGTGAAGCCTCGCCGCGACGCCGGGAAGGTACGACCTCGCCTTCGTTCCTACACACAGGTCGGGTCGGAAGCTCGACCTGACCCCTCCGACGATCAAGTCAGATGATGTGGAGGGAGTTTTTTAGTGAAGAAGTGTCCCCCTCCTCGTTTAGAACTCGGGGGTATTTATAGAGCAGTTTAGTATTACCTGATGTGCCTGCCTGCGGGAGGCAGAATCGTACCTCTGATGGTGTCTGACATTGCTATTGACGTTGCGTGGAGAACCGAATTGCCGTAGGGTATGGGCGAGGGTCGGTCGTCGTCCTCCTCTACCTCAGTCAAGCGCGCGGGGTCAGACAACGATGAAGTCGTTGTCTGAGAGCGGATGACGTCAGCGCGTGTCGAGTCAGCATTATTGCCCTCCTCCTCGGGCAGAGTGGCGCCCAGGTGAGGCCGACGTCGTGACACGTCATGTCGCCATTATTACCCCTATCACTTAACATCCTAATTTAGTCTAATACACTGATGAGTATATTTTCAATAAAATAATATATTGATGTCACAAACAAACATAATAGTTGCCCTTTTTTAATGCTAATAATAGTCTTTCATTATCAGGAAGTAAATGATCTATGAGGTGTAATCATGCTATTGGAGAGGACTTTGTAATCATGAATCGGGCCCTACTAAGAAGAAGGAGGTAAAGGATGTCATTATAATAACCACTCAACTTTCTTTCCCGATAACAATAATTAATATTATTATGATCATGATTCGATTCGAATCAAAATCGAATTAATTAATTAGATAAGAAAATAAATAAATAAGATTTATTTATTTATTTTCTTTGTTGACTTAACGGTGCACAGATCTCATACTGCACATGGCAGGATGGTATGAACACCCAAAACCCGGCATCAAGTCTCAGATTCCCACAATAAAAATCTTGTGTTCCGATCGGACCAACAATAATTACTCCACTCCGTCTCCTATCCTCCACCAAAATATCTCTTCATGATGAGACAATGGAACCTTTTGCATCCATCAAAGCTCGTCCATTCTTACTTCATCTGCATTCGGAGGTGAACATCCATCCACCACTCGATCGCTTATATTCCAAGTCATAGGAATTCTGATCGGAAGGGCAATGTCCCTGATTGGTGGTGGCTGCATATGTCAGCGAATGCGACATCCCTAGGAATGGATGCTTTTGGATCTATAAAGGCCCCCCCAAGCCGAAAGCCTCTCTCTCTCTCGTGGGTTCTCCGACGACCAATGGCGGCTGCTCGTTTCCTCTTGCTCCTCGTCGGCGCCTTCCTCCTCCTTTCCTGGGCACGTGCTGATCACAACCCCATCCTGCTCGTCACGGACCGCGCGCGCTCGCTCGACTCGTCCCTCTTCGCTGGTGTTCTTGGCCGCACGCATGACGCCCTCCGCTTCGCCCGCTTCGCCCGAAGGTTGCGTTCCTCTCTCTCTCTCTCTCTCTCTCTCTCTCACCGCCA